CTATGTGTGGAAGTATGAACAAGAAGCAGGACACTGGGTTTTGTCTAGAAAGTTTAGGCTGTTTGTAGATTTAAGCATATCAGTCTCTAGACTTTTCCACACCTCCTTAAATTGCTTGAACTAAACATCGTGAGCAAAGGAGAGATTAGCCCTGATTAGAAAACAGTGTCTGAATGGGACAGAAAAAATGCTATCCCCTGAAAACCTAAAAACTACTCTGGAAGTATAGTCAGTTGGCAATTTTATGCTTTTGGAAAAAGACATTAGTGGAGAATCCCAAATATTCAGTATTCTAAAAAATAAGATATTGTTAAATTTGTGAGGAATTATGTTGCCTTTTAGGGGGAAAATCTGCCTCCTTATTATTATTTTCTTTTAACCACTTTATTACCAACAGATTTTTCCTGAGTGGGAGGTATCTTCATAGAGCACACTTATGTAGTGAGTGAATATTATGGGAATATTATGGGAAAGTGCCCCACATTTTCCAGGAAGATTTTAATTGACTGTACAAAAATCTTCCTTATTCATTAAATAACTAATCCAGGATAATTGGGTGTCCCTCAAAAACAGGAGGTAGATTGTGCCTAATCCTTTGCAAATTAACAAGTATAAAGGTAGAATTATGCCTTTTAATTACACATAGTAACTAATCATTTTAGTTTTTACTGAAGTATTGTATCATTATGTCTTCCCCTTGGTGGTAATGAGAACCAACATTTCATTCATGGTAAAATTCCATAAATAAAAAATTAAGTTTAACGTTTAACTAAAAGTTGAGATCAGTTGAAGAGACTGTTTCAGGGGAGCACGATAATCATTTCCTGTTGACAAAAATTATCAAGCAACCAGGGATGTTTCAGAGTCATTGACTTTAAWTTTTTTTTTTTTTAATTCAGTGAGTAAACCCTAAAAGGGATAGATGCAATGTCCTTTGATGGATTTTGATTCTATAGGTTTGTACTGCTTCAGTTTAAAGCTGTGATAGGTTTATGCTTGTCTTTATACAAGCAGGAGGAAAGTTAAAAGAAACAGATGAATGTCTCTTTCTCCTCTATATGTCATATAGAATACTACATTAATTTTAATTAAAATCAAGGAAATTAAGAATTATGTTTACAGTTTCTTTGTGATCTTCCTCCCTCCCTTCCATCTTCCAGGCAATAACCTGATTCCTTAACAAAAGTAGTTGTAGACCTAAGTCACCTTTTTATCACCTTTTTTACAGATTTTTTTTTTTTGTGTGTGTGTGTGTGTGTGGCAAAATCAAGGTTTGAGGAATATAAGTTTTCCTTAAATAGTGGGAAATTCTTAAAATATATTACTATTTTCATTTTTAAATGTCTTCATAAGATTTCAAAAGAGAAATGTTTTGTATTCTACATAATTAATGTGGTTTTCTTTCAAGTCTGGCATAGATTCTATGGCTTTATGCAAATTACTTTGCTTTTGAGTCTTTGAGCAAGTAGCAATGTAATTGGTTGATAATCATCCACCTTACTCATAGAATTACTCTACAGGGTATCCAAGAATGTCAAATTACCTTGAAACAATTGTACAAATAACAAATAATTGTGTACTCCCCCCAAATCACTTATTTCTTAATTTGCAAGTTATTACCTTTGCTTTCTTAAAGAATGAACTTTTTGCAATGACTAATTTACACAATTTTCTGTTTAAATGCATGTAATTATGGCAATAAAATTAGAAAATAATTAATGCTAATAATTCCGAGAATTAGTTTTCTTAACTTTCTGCGTAATGCTGCGGTTTACACATTATAACCTTTCAGTTTGTCCATTAATAACTTAATTATTCTAAGTAGTTTTATGACTGTATAAAGGTCTTTTCTTCGAAGGATTATAGGGCCTCTATTTGAAGTCAACCCCCACTCTCCAGTATAATTGACTGTAGCAGCCTGCTTTCAGCAAGGATGGAAACACTCCCACTCTCTTCCTGCATTCTCTGCGTCTTAACTCCAGTAGAGTTAGTCGTAGGCATTTTTCCAGTATGCCTGAAGCAGTGCTCTTTGGAGGTACCTCCCTTCAGTTCTTTAGTGGAATACACCACTTTGAATATGCCTATCATAGATACATTAACACTCTTGACACTCAGACTCACAGGCAGTCACAAGTTTGGGCAGCCACAAAAATAGCTAGATGTACACACCTTAGACGGGGGAAGTTGAACCTCAACATTTTTTCGGTTGAGCACCTTTTTGCACACATAAGCACTTTTGCTATATAACTCATCTATCGTTTCAGTTGAAATTTCAGAGTGCATGTGCATCATGCAAACATAGCCAACTGTGACACTTATTGCAGATATTTTTAAATCCCCAAACCAAGGTAGTACACACAATCACTTTCTCAGGTATCTTTTCTGAATGTCTTGCTAGTTTGTGTGTGACACTTTCTTAACCAACCATTTATTGTCACCTAGCTAAGACCATTGTGATTTAGAAAGTTTAGCAGTTTTGTGGAAGAGGAAAATGTGGAGGCTAGAGAAGAAATGACAGGGTGTGGATTGACTGATGAGCGATTTCCAAGCAGAATTCCACAGAAGAGAACTTTGGGAGGGCCAACAAGAGGGGATCCAACCAGTCATTCCAATACTGATTTTGAATTTGGAGTGTGCTTAATCTAGGCTTTCAAGAAACCTGTGTCTTTGTTTACCAACCACAGCTGTGTTCTATGCTTTCCTAGTCCTCTTTGTCAAAAATGTGTTGCTTTAATTCTTTAATGGACAAGGTAGAATTAAAGATGATAGTGAAGATGTGCTTGTGTGTGGTGTGTGTAGGTGTGCAGAGGGATCACTCTATCAGTTTAGAATGTAGAATAAGCCCAGTCAATTACACATCTCCTCCCCAACCCCCAATGCTCATGTAATTGCACTGTGACTTTGGTAGTAAAGGTGGTTGCTTTTCCGTCTTTAAATCTGAACTTAGTTCCTTTTTAACTTCATCTTTTTTACTTTTGTGACCCAAACCTATATACATTGTGTGGTATATTGAAGAACAAAGCAAAAGAAATACTCCCATAGACCACATGAACATAAGTGTGGTTAATACACAACAGCAAAAAAGAATGTCATCATTAGAATAGATTATTAAATAATTTCCTTAAATTAGAATTGATTTTGTTATTTCCTTAAACAATATATTTGAAATGAAACCGATTTTTTTTTAAAAAAAAATCACTCAAAGGCATTAACTTAGATTAAGAGTTTAAACACTATTTAATTGGCATGCACCGTTTTTCACTTTAGATCATTATATTTGAAACATAATATTTGCCTGGCTGAAATGCTTCAGATCAATGATTTGCAAACTTTGTTTCTTGGAGGTTTCTTAGACAGGCTTTAGGGGCCAACATATAGGGCAAAGGAAACAAAGCAGGCAGGAATTCTGGCTCCCTTGTTTCAACCCAGAGAAACCTCACCTTTATCTCCTTTGTACATCAGAGTTCTGCTTAGGATTTTAATTAAAAGGAATTCCACTGCGGAAGAGAAACAAAAACCTGAAATTCTCTGGCTTGGATCAAACCTTACTCTGTAGCAAGAGCAGGCTCCTGGAGTTTCTTCCACATAGAACTCAAATTGTACATTTTCCTAAACTAGTAGAAATAACTGAATTTGAAACATCAAATGGATATATATGCATGCTCACAAATACATGTATTGTATGAGTCTTTGTAAGCATCTTCACTAAAACATTGCGTATTCCTATTGGAGATATTACATAGAATGATCCTTACTTATTAGGCACTTTGGGACGATGAAATATTATATGCAGAGAAATACAATGAAAACCTGTGTATGAATGCTTACTAAATGGTAACCTAATTAGGGGTGGGGTGCTTAGAGAAGAGGAGGCATGTTATTTTTTAATTGAAAAAAATATGATAAATATTTGGATAACATTCCTTAAGGAAATTTTTCACTCATAAGAGTAATACATGTCTGCTGTAATCAATTTTGAGTTGATTTTGCAAAGACAAATCGGTGCTGGTTGGATGTAGGACATGGTAGTGGCTGTGGTGGTTAGTTGTTCTGTTTCAAGCCGATGAAGTATTTTCATAGAGACCAGAATATTGATGGCTGCACTAAGAAACCTGAAACTCAATTTGCAGGTAGATATAAGGAATATGAGATGTGTGTTATTTGAATGACAAAATCAGATTTGTGTTTTAGAAGATCATTCTGACAGCAATACACAGAGTGGATTATAGGGAACAGGAATGTGAACAATGAAATAAGTCAGACAGATTGTGAGAATTTACATGAGCAATGGTAATGATTTCAACCAATTTGGTAGTGGCCATAGGGAAGCAGGGGAAAGATTCAGCTGAGATCAGGAGAAAGGTATTAAGATCCCAAGTGATTGAATGTAGGAACTGAACGAGAGGGGAGGGTTGAGGATGACTTCTGCATTTCGAATAACATGTTTGGGTGTGTAGCCATTCCCTGGCATGAGGATACAAAAGCACAGGTTTGGGAAAAGTGATTGAAGGTGGTAATATGCTTTAAAAAGCTGTTGTGACATGACCAGGGATGGTGTATGAATGTGTGTGTGTGTGTGTGTGTGTGTGTGTGTGTGTGTGTTTTCTAGATCTAGATCTGAAAGAATGAAAGTTAAGAACACAATTTCTGCAATCACTGTGTTCACATCTTTATCCACTGCTTTCTAGCCACGTGGCCTTGAACCTCTAAGCCTATTTCTTCATTTGTAAAATGGAAAAAAATGACAATACCTACCTCCTAGGGTTGTTAGTAGATAAATTAGAGCATGTAGTAAAAATTCCATGAATATTATCAAAATTGCTATCATTTATCCATCTTAGGCCTGTTTCCTCATCCATAAACTCTTGAAGTGGGAGAGGAGTTAAGTTGGATTATAGGACATGGGAATTTATCTCCTGCAGATTTTTGTCCTAATATGTCTGCTCTCTATTTACATGTGTGCAAACACTGTTTTACTCAATAATGTTAATCATTTCTAGGAACTTGCCACACCAGACTCAGATTCCCCAACAGCAGACTACAGGTGAGTACTAAAAATACTAAGTAGATGTTTGTGRATGAAGCTAATAGATTAAAAGATAATTGTAGCACTACATAATTTATGAAGTTTTTGCTTCACCAAGTAAGGCAAAACACTTGTATCATTTCTTAATCAGACTTAGAACCTCAGAATAATAGCTTAGATTATTGCATAGATTGGCATCAGAATGATAAACACAGAGTAAATGATCTTACAGCAAAAGCATCCATGGAGGTCCTGTCTAATTAAGGAAGACTGAATAAAATCCCCTTCCTTCAGCCAAGCACCCTATTCTTCCCCTTGGTATGAAAGATTTTTAGCTTGGATGCATCCAGGATTTGTCTCAGTAAGTGAGCAGCTTGAAACTGATTCTTACAAAAGGAAACCTTTGTGACTAATCACTGAGGCTTCAGGGGGATAAGTGAAAAATGGTTGGCCTGGTTTTAAAGCTGCTTTAGAAAGCTGTTATAACATGACCAGTGATGACAAGATGGCGGACAATTCTCCCTAAACTATTCTATTTCCCTAAGACTTGCTTTCTTTAAGTTTATGTCTTTCAAGTGTCCCTAAAAATTTTCCACAGCCAATTATTTCATTCATTTCAGTACCAAGTAGATAACTTATTCATGATTGTCTTCTAATTAGTGGTTGATTCCTAGTTCTAATTGCCAGGCAACCAGTAATGCCTTTGTAGCTCTTTTGGAAAAGCAAGAAAAGTTTTAAAAATGTAAGTTGGGTGTGGAATTCTAAGTATGAATAGTGGCTTTGTGATAGGGAAACTATTAAGTTAGTCTCAAAAACTTCAGGCACATGTAGAAATGTATTGGATGTTTTCATTCAGAATTATCTTCTCTATTATTACTGCTTTCGGGAATTTAAGGAGATTTTCGTTTGACAACTTTTCAAAGATTTGAGGCAAGTACTACAAAAATATTCATCAGATTTTAATTATGATATTATGTTTATCAGAATTTTTCCCCACAATTTTGATACTTGTTTTAATTAAATGCTAATGTGTTCCAACAAGACTGTTCAATATATTGATGTGGTGGTGCTTACTTTGTAAGCATTCAGGAGATTGATGAAGAAACAAACTTGGTTATAAATGTGTGTCACCTAAATAGAGAAAAAAAAATGAATCCTTACTACCATTAATTTCATGGCTATTTTTTAAAAGCAGAAAAAAATTAAAGGAATATTTCTATAATAGGAATAAGAGAACCTCTTCCTCATTAATCTCATAGACTTTTATGTCTCCTGAAATATTTGTCTTCTGATTCTTGATTATTTCAGAGACAGGTGAGGAAAAGGGAGATAATTTCTAGAAAAAAAAGTATATAAAAATATCTTAAAGATCCATATTTTACTTACTCATGAGGAGAAGTAGAAAGCTTAAGTAGATAATATTAGGGATGATTTTCACAGATGTTACCAGTTTGATAATCACAATAGATTTTTAGCAAGTAGACTTGTTAGTGTACTGCTTTTTAGTAATAGGGAACTTTTCCAAATACAAGGAGAATTTATGCCAGAGCCAATGTGGTAAGAGCCAAAGACTTTGCCCAAGGGGAGTTCAGGATGTTCAAGTTAGTTTTCAAAATTATTTTTCTAAAGCAGGTTTTGGGGAGCAGGCATTTTGCTTGAGTGAAGAAAGCATGGATCTCATTTTTAGTTAGCACCATGACCAATTACCTTCTTGTTTCCTTATGTTATTTTTTTTTTTTTTTTGCARTTTGGGTCATGTTATTGACTGAAATGCACTGTCTCCTCTTGGTTGTTTTCTTGTTTTATCAATGAGGCTCCAGTGCCTAAGTGCTTCAGAAGAGAGGCCACCTTAGCATTTTGCATAATTATGAAAAATTGTTGTGTTTTACCTCTGACACATTGGTAACTAAGTGGAGTCAGGCCTCCTGGAGAGGGGAGCTAAGTGGGCACAGTTACATTCCTTGTTCCCATTCTGTTCATTATAAAAATGGAAAAAAAATTGTTTTTCTATTTCTAAATTATTCTGTTCTGTCTGCAAATGCATGGATGCGGTGCTGTTTATGTACTTTCATGAGTACGGTTGAGTCTTTCTGTTCTTTCATCCTGGTTATCCTACCATAATGAGGCAGCTACATTTGTACATGATTATCATGAAACAATAACTGTCTTTTTCCAAGTACCTCTAAGCACTATGCCATGAAGGTAATTTAGGCACAAATTTGTCTCTTGGATAGCAAGTAATTTTATTTGTAGCTACCAAATGGAAGTTATCAGGGGAGAGTAGATTTTGAAGCTTGTTTCATGTAATTTGTTGTTTTCTTTTAAATTCTCATCTAAAGTTTAAGAAGTGAAGTAGCTGCTGGCGTTGTATTCCTGGACTTGAGCACTAACTGGGATAATAGAGCAGTTAGAAGCTGACAATAGCACTGCCTTCTGGCCCAGGCCCAGGCCATTAGGTTTGATGTCCCTTCAGGTTTTCTCATTTTCTCTGCCCTTCCAACCCACATGGTATTTTTTAAAAGCCACGATTAAAAGGTACAGTCATACATCCCGCAGGCAACCTCTTTCTGTTTGTTTTTTTGTGGGAGGAATTTTCAGGCCATACCTTTTGAGAAATACAGAACATTCCAGCTTTGGTCCAAGAAGGGGAGGGGACGGCTAATTTAGAGATTGTTCTTTAATGAAATGCAAAGAAATAATGCAATGTAATTACTTTAAATTATGTTAGGGAGATAGAAAATTTCTTCTTGCCATAATTCACACTGCCCCGAATCTAAAAGTGTCTGTATCTTGCCTAACTCATGCTCATATTCATTCTTGCACCTTGCAGGTAAATGGTATCCCTGAAGAAAGAAAACTGACTGAAGCAATGAATTTATAATCACACAGTTATAGCAGTTGCATCTTATTTCTCTTTTCTTCCAATAATGCATGAGCCTTTCTGGCATATGGTGTGCATGTTGACAGTATTAAGTATGTACCAAATAATACAATATAACTTTGGTTTTACTAATGTATTTTTTTTTGTACTTAAATCATTTTTGACAATTTGTAAGACATTGATGACTTTATATTTGTTACAATAAAAAGTGATCTTTAAAATAAACATTAATGGAGCCTAATGTCTGGTCAAATTTACTTCAGAATAGGTCCATGTATTCATCTTCTCTGAACAAGATTTTATTAAGTAATTCTTATGACTATATAAGGCTATGCGTCTATGCTCCAACTGATCAACCCATTTAAACAGTGCTTTAACTCTTGTAGACTCAAAAGCTTGTTTTTGTTTTGTTTTGTTTTGTTTTTTGGGGTTTTTTTTTTTTGTGTGTGTGTGTGCGTGTATGTGTGTATCTGTGTTTTCCTGGTACTGGGAATTGAACCCAGGGTCTCATGATGGTAACCAAGCACTCTACCACTGAACTCTATCCTCCACTCTTTTATTTAAAAAATTCACATTGAGACAGAGTCTGACAACTACGTGTCCCAGATTGGCCTTGAACTTGCTATCCTTCTGCCTTTACCTGCAAAGTAGCTGGGATTATAGGTGTGGATATAATCCCACCTATATTCTTGTTCTTGCTCTTGTTGTTTTATATCATACTTCTTAGAGTGTTCTAGAGGAAACCCAGTGTTAATGTAGATTATGGAACTGATAACATCTGCTTCAAGCAGGATAGCCCAGGGTACATACTTACCTGAGTTCATAATCAGATATTTGGTTTGAGAAACAGCCCAGGAGGTATTTGCACAGAAAGAAGAGTTACTGATAGTGATATGGTTAAGTGCCACAGGGTCTCCTCTGGTAACTTTGATGTTCATAGTTTTGCAGAGCTTCCTCATACCATGTTGGTCTCTTGCATGCATCTTGGACACTGTTTGTTTGACATGGCCATCAGGCCAGCTAGCAGGGCAGCTTTTATTGCAAACTTGACCATCAGGAAAACCTCCTTTTTTCTGCTCTGGGCACATTTCTGTGTTACCTGTTAATTGGTCAAAAGTCACACAAATGTGATCTCAACCCGATTCCAAAATCCAAAAAGATTCGCTGTTTTTATTTTGTGCAGCAACTTTCCTTCTGTTGAGAAGAATACTTTGTCATGTCATTGGTAGTGGAACCCCCACTTCTTTCTGGGACTTACCAGAGAATGTTGGTTCTTTTGTTTCTTGAAGAGGGGTCTCTAACTCATTTCTTTCTAAGATAACTAGGGCATTGTCACTCACTGTTCTCCAGGAGCAATCAGCTGTAGGTTGTAAATGTATTGTGTCAGGGTCACATTCTAGGTCATCAAGGCTCCAGAGGACTCCACTGTGACACAGAGACAGCTTTAATAAACTGCTGCCCCTGCCAGGTGAAATCAGTGTTCTGGTTGCCCAAGTGAGCAGGAATAAGGTAATGCACCATCAACAAACAAGGAGCTGTGGATGGAGAATCAAGAACTTTACTCACCTATTCTAGTAAAGTGCTGTGCTGGGGATTAGAAAATGCAATTGGAGTTATGTTGGTTTTTAATGGCCATATTGAGGAATTGGGATGAAACCATTGGCTTGCATCTTACAAATCATTGATAATAACTTTAGTCTCTATAAATCCACCTAAAAAGTGATCTTTCCTCTGACTTAATATTTTGATGAAGAGGAAAATTTCAAATAATGTCCCCTTGATTGTTGCTTAGCCTAATAATCCTTAATTTATTGGTTAAAAAAATTGTAGGGATTCTGTCACATGTATTTTGCATTTTTATGTGAGTAATCCAACAGTAGTGTAGAGAATAGATGAATTAGTTGAGTGAAGGGGTATGGATAAACCAAGGTTATCATAGATATAAGTGGAGAAATGATAGTGGTAGGAGATTCGAGAACTATTTAAGAGGTAAAATAGTGGTTGCTTGTACATTGATACTTTGGAAATGGTGTCAAGGAACAAAAAGGGATCAATTCTGATGCGTAGGTTTTCTTGGTCAAACAGTGGTGCTATAGTTGTGATAGATACTGCTGAGTTAGAACCAGGACTGAAGAATATATRAGTTCAATTTTATGCAAGGTGAACTTTATCTGCCTTTGAAGAAAAAAATAAGAGAAGTAGGAAAGTCGAGATATGAATTTGAAGTTTGGAATAGAGGTGTGGGCTGCTGCTGTGACTGATGAGTCACCTGAGCATAGGTAGTCATTGAAGCCATGGGAGTTGATAAGTCCCCCGAGTATCCCCAGGTAGCTGAAATGTGTTGCAGTGAGTCCTATGATAGGACAAGTATGTGAGGCTGCATAATTGCCAGAATCTAATGGTCAGAGAAAGTCAGGAATGGTATTTGAATTAACATTTCACAAATTAAAATGTAATATTGCTTCTTATTTTGTAGAAATTTCATTTCTTTGTTAATAAATCTTACATGTTTAAAGTTTGTCCATATGCTACAACAATTTCTGTGGTGAGATTGTCTCACTTTCCATTCATCTCACAGTTCCTCTTAGTGTATCATGTAGTTTTTATGTTTGATTTTAGGTGATTAAGATTCTCCTGGTCCCCAAGTGTTTCTGAAATAAGTGGTAAGATGATGAGGAAAGATTGAGATACACTGGTTTGGCAGAATAATAGATTTCTATTTCTATTTTAAATATTTCAAAATCTTACTGAATCAATTTGACTATCAGGGCCATTTCATTCATTCATTCATTGAGTGAATACTTGTTTATGCTCTAGGCTTTGAATCATGCAGTGGTTAATAAAACAGAGTATTATGAAAGACCATAAACAAAGTCTAGTACACTATCTGGCACTAGTTGGTGCTAAATAAATATTTGTTGAGGGAATTAATCTGATGTCTGATCTCAAGTTTATGAAGGTTTAAAAAGAGGATTGTAATAAAGAATGAGGAAAGGGAACTACTTAGACTGAATGATCAGAATAAGTCTAGCTGAAGAGAAAACATGAGCATGTGCCAGTTGTGCTTAGCACCCTCATCAGAGGAAATAGCTTGAGTCCAAACCCAAAGGTAATGTAGTGGAAGCAGGAGGTGGCAGTTTCTGCCCAGTATTGATTCACCCTTCTTTGGCAACCATATGTGTATGTCTTTCTCTTGGCCATCATTCCCTGCCGTACTTGCAATATGGTGCTTCCATTTGCCTTGGCAAGAGACCTGGCACGGGTGCCCAGGTCTGGCTAATCAGAACCCTGCATCCTGATGGACAGGGTTTAGACCTCTCAGAGCAGAGAGCCTCTGAGATAAAATTCAGTTTTCCTATAATGGCTGACAGAGGAATGGGCTCTTCTCTGATGTAGTTGAATCTTGGGTGAAAATAAGGCCAACTGGGGGGTGGGGGAGGACTAGCAAAATTGCCAGAAGCCAATTCTCTATGTATGATAGGCCATTGGGTTGGGGGACACTTCAGTCCTAAGAACATGAAGGAGCTCTATTAAAGTTGAAGTATATTGAAAGAGGGGAAGTGGACTAGGGATAATTCTGGAAATGCAAACAGAATTCTATTAGTTTTATACTCATGGATCAAGGAGTTTGGATTTTATTCTAAGAGCACTGGAAACCATTTGAAGCTGAAAATTAACATGATCCAACTTATATTTAAAAATTGCACTGGGTCCACCAAGATGGTAAAGATTGCTGAAAATTCTCTCCTCAGCAAAGGAGAAAACTGGCCAGAATTGTGAGAGTTAAAATTTTCAAAACTCTGGAAATTAATCAAATCCTTGCAGCAACCTAGGGAGGGTTTATTTAAGAGAGCTTGTTAAGAACAGCAAGATTCATGTCACTTTACTGCATTCACATTCTTCCCTCTGTAGCTCCACACAGTAGCTTTGCAAACTACACAGCAGGTAATCACGGTGGAAGCTAGCAAGGAGGTAGCCACCAAACAGAACAAAATGAGGCCGGAGTGCCTTCAGAACCTCTGCTGAGGACACGTGAGGTAGTTGAGGAAAACAATAGAGTAACCAAAGAGCTTAAAAGGAAAACCTGGGGGAAATGAAATGTCCATAGAGGGTTTGGAAAGTTTTAATATGGTCCTGGAATCTATAAGGCCACAGGCATGCATAGGGCTATATGCATGCTCATGACTTGGAGGCTCTGTGCAATCAGGTGGTGAACACTAAGCAGAGTTACCACTGGCTTATTTGAGTCTTTAAAGGATTTGCAAGCATGCACACAAAGCCCCTTGGCAAAAGCAGTTAAAGAAATCTAAATATTAGCTGACCACTAAAATAACTAAGAAAAGACTAAGTAGCCACACACGACAGAACACAGACTTTATGGGATTAGTTTGGAAAATTCACAAAACAAGCAATAAACTCTGTGGAGGACAGAAGCAAGGAGGAGAATCTGATTTCCAGGGTTGCCGTGTTATATTATTTAAAATATCCAGTTTTCGCACACACACACCACACACACACACAAAAACAAAACAAAACAAAACAAAACAAAACAAAAACAACAAAACAAAAACAAAGAAATAAAGTCTGGCCAATACACAGTAAATAAAGCAGTCAACAGGAACTGTCAAGAAACCAGTGGAAAAGCACTTGCCCAGCATGCAAAAGGCCCTATATTTAAGCCCCAGAATCACTAAAAAGAAAAAGGAAAAGAAACTGTACCAGAAAGCACAGAGGTTGCACCTACTAGACCAAGGCTTTTAACAGTTATTTTAAATACATCCAAAGGAAAAGAATGAAAACAATCTCTCACCCAAATAAAGAGAGACAAATGATAAGAAACAAATAAATTCTGAAGTAAACAGGAAAATAACTGCAATGAAAACTTCAATGATTCCCTAGAAGAACTCACAGTACTCAGAAACTACATATTTATAGTTTATTCCAAAAAATGGACAAATGACATGAACAAATTATTAAAGCTCTATAAATGGTCAAACATGGAAATGTTTAAATCCACTCATAATTAGGAAAATTCAATTTAAAGTTGTATTCGGATGCTATTTCCTACTTTTCAGATCAGTAAAAACTCAAAAAGGATGACAAAACTTTCTATCACTTACGTTGTAAGGAAACAAATATTTTCAGATATTGGTAGTGAAAAGGAAATTGATGCAACAGCTTCAGAAAATTTGGAAAGAGCTAAGAAAACTACATGTGTGTGTGTGTCTTGACCCAGAA